GAACCAGGTCACAGCTGCCTGTAATACCAGCTCTAGCATATTGGAGGCATCTGGCCTCTTGAGGCACTTGCATTTATGTGTTCATACCCACACACAGACATAATAGATACAAAAATGTTTTAAAAAGTAAGGTAAATATTTAAAAAAAACCAAGATCAAAATATCTATGTCTCCAGGAAATATGCTTCACTTGTAAAAAAGAAAAAAAAATCTGAACACTGAAAGTCAAAGTTTGGAAATCAACCTACTAAAAACATTGAAGCTAGAAGGGGAAAATAAAAAAAGCTGGCAGAGCTCTTCTGACACCTGAGAAGAGCTGAAGAGTAGACTCCAAACTAAAAGTTGTAAGAAGGGATAATTAAGAGCACTGCATACTAAGCACTGCATTCAAGATGAGTTGGCAATTGTAAATATTTACTCATGACATTTTGGGGCTCCCAGTTTCACAAAGCAAATGCTAAAATGCATGGAAGGTCATATAGGTCCTAATATAATGATAGTGGGGGACTTTAGTTCCCTGTCTATATAATTAAGTAGGCCTTCCCAACTGAGAATTACTAAAGAAACTTCAGAGATAGACTATTTAACAGATCATTTGGATTAACAGATGTCAATACATAATTCATCTAAAAGATAAGAATATACACATTCTTCTCAGCAGCTCTCAAAACAATCTCTAGAATCAATGAGATTACAGGCCACAAAGTAAGCCTTGAGAATACAAAAGAATCAGGGGCTGGAAAGATGGCGTGGTGGTTACGACCATTTGCTGCCCTTGTAGAAGACCTAGGTTTAGTTCCCAGAACCCACATCAGGCAGCTCATGACCATCTGTAACTCCAGCTCTAGGAGTTCTAACCCTTGTGAGCACTTGCTTGCAGGCAGTGCACCTACAGAGCAAGAGGCAAACACACATACACATCATTCTTTTTTTAACAAAAGAGAGAAATCATTACAAAAACTTTTACAACTCCCTGTATCATGTCATATTGTAGAAGAATAAAGCTAAAAAATCAATTGTGAGCGAAAACAAAGAAACTACATAAATCTTTGGAGAATAAAAATTATAGCACACTCAGCCCCTATCAACTCTGCTTTGTGTATGCAGCCTTCTTTTGTAGACTGAGAAAATCCTGATTCTGGTATCTCTAAGATCACAGAGTCTCCATTTCATCGTAGGCTTCAATGCCACAGATTCACATATGGCCCTTTATGGACTGTAAGCCAACCACAATTGCCTGACCATGGAAATTCTAAGCCAGGCAGGTTAATTCATGGCAACCCTGTCGCAAAAACCCAAAAGAATAAGAAATGTAAACAAGCAACAACAAAACATTATGAACAATACATGTTATAACCTGACAGCTTAGTTGCCAATGCTGTAAATACATAAATACAGGGAACATACTAAAGTGTTTATGTTCTTAGTTTCTTCTTCTTCTTCTTCTTCTTCTTCTTCTTCTTCTTCTTCTTCTTCTTCTTCCTCTTCCTCTTCCTCTTCCTCCTCCTCCTCCTCCTCCTCCTCCTCCTCCTCCTCCTCCTCCTCCTCCTCCTCCTCCTCTTCTTCTTCTTCTTCTTCTTCTTCTTCTTCTTCTGCTATGTCTCCACCTCCTCCTCTTCCTCCTTCTTTCTTCTTCTATTCCAAAGTGGCAAATGTGGCCAGAAACATGTTCTATCAACTTATCATTTGCATCAGCTCCTGAGAAAAAAGAGAAACAGGACAAATGTTTCTGTTTCCATCTTGGTCCTATGCCCTTTATTTACCAACCAGTTCAGTGCCATGATTTTTCTCCAAAATTTGTTACTTAGAACTTACATACTTTCTAATAATTTTTTTGTGCTTTCTGTATATTCTGGGAGAAAAGATACATTTGTTATTGATTTTAAAGACAGAAAAATTATGTAATACACAAAAATTATGTAGGACCCAGTTCTGTCTATCTATCTATCTATCTATCTATCTATCTATCTATCTATCTATCTATCAATCATATACACACTATATATATATATATATATATATATATATATATATATATATATATATATGAATGACATTACTTTTTTGGATAAAAGTCACAAAACATGGTGTCTTAGTCAGTGTTCTATTACTATGAAGACAAACCGTGACCATGACAACTCTGACAAAGAAAAACTATTTAATTTGAGCTTGCTTACACTTTTAGAATTTTAGCCCATTGTCATCATGGTGGGAAACATGGCAGCATGCAGGCAGATATGGTGCTGAAAATGTAGCTTGAGAGAACTCTGTATCCAGGTCTACAGGCAACAGTAAAAAGAGACATTGGGCCTGGATTGAGCCTTTTAAACCCCCAAACCCACCCCCAATAACACACTTCCTTCAACAAGGCCATACCGAGTCCAAAAAGGTGTAGTAATACCACTGCCTAATAATCAAGCATTCAAATACATGAACCTATTCAAACCACCACACAAGGAATTAGGTATTTTAAATTAAGCAATTTGGTGATATTTAGTGTTTTCACAATGTCGTAAGTACACCACCTCTGATGAACTCCAAAACATTTTCATCTCCTCAAAAGGCCAATCTAGATCCTTTAACTGGTCTCTCTCTCTCTTCTTCATCCTAGGGCCTGGAAGCCACTAATCTGCTGCCTTCATGAATATTTACCTATTCTGGATATTTTATATTAGACAAAAATCATAAAGTATATGACCTATTGTTTCTTCCTTCTTTTACTCCGTATGTTCTCAAGTTTCATCTATGCTGTAGCATGGTCTTTTTATGATTAGTTAATATTTTATTTTATGAATATACCACATTTTGGATACTCATCATAGATTGATAGATAATTGCTTTTTCCCTCAATTTATGACTATGGTGGATATGCTGTTGAGAGTTTTTAGCATGGGCTTTTATTTGAATGATTTGAGAATGTAGGTATAAAATTGATGGCCATAGGTAAATTTTAGATTCAACTTCCTAAGTTTCTTTCACTATTAATCCATTATGTGTATATCAGTTTGCAGTCCTATCAGCCATGAACAAGGATACCAACTTCTCCATATAATGAAAATTTAGTTCAGTTTTTGTTTATTGGTTGTATCTTATGGTTTTGATTTTTCTTCCCTTTTGACTAATGATGCTGCTTCCCTTAATATGTACTTAGTAATTTTCTGTAAACTTATACTATCCAGAGCAATGATTCTTGAATTTCTTGCCCACTAAGATAAATTATGGTTAAATCTTAGGAATGCTTTTTATATTTTAAGCATTGCATATTCAACAGATTATGATTTACAGATATTTCCCCTGTTGTTTTCTTGATGGAATATTTTGAAGTTGAAAGTTTTATTTTAACTGTGATAGAAGTCTTAGTATTGGCTTCTGAGTTATCTATCATATCTTGATCATGAAACTTTTCTATGTGTTTTGGTGAGTTAAATGGCTTTTCTCATATTTATGACTTTTGATGTATTTTGAGGTAACTTTAATATGATCTAAGACAGGTGTCAAGGTTCACTATTGTATATGTGGATATCTAGTTGTGCTACCATTTTGAAGAAATAATTCTTTGCTCTGGTTGGCATATTTCTAAAAACTAATCATAAATATATAGGTTTATTTCTGGGTTCTTAATTCTATTTCATTACTTTGTATTTCTACCAATTTTATCAATGCAGCAGTTTTGATTACTATAGTTAAGCAATGCATTTTAAAATCGAAAGGTGTGAGTCCTACAACTTTGGTGATCTTTTTCCATGATTTTAAAAATGTAATGATGGATACAGTGGAATTCCACATGAATTTTATGATCAGCTCTTTAAAAAAATAACTATGACAAAGCCCTGTTGAGATTTCAACAGCCATTATTTTGATTTGTCAGGTTGCCCTAGGTGTTTTGCCATCTCAATAAAATTGAGACATGTAGTCCATAATTAGAAATGGTTTTCCATTTCCTTGGGCACTTAATTTCTTTTACCAGTGTCATGCAGCTTCTGACATACAATTTTTAAAGCTTCTCAATCTGTGTGAGTTCATATGTGTATTTGCATGAGTATGTGTAGGTGTGGCACCTGAATCAACATCAGTGCCTTGTGGGAACCAGTTAAATGTTCCACCATGGAGTTAGGTTTCCAGTTGTTCTTGGGTACTTTCCTTTGCTCAGTGTTAGTTTAAGTACACTAAAGAAACTTTATTGTGGGATTGCCATTGCTCATGTGTAAAAATACATGTGATGATTATGTACTGATTTTCAATTTGTAAATTTGTAAAACCTCTTCATTAGCTTTGATAATTTGATTGTGAGTTCTTTATCATTTTCTATGTTTCTGATCATATTGTATATAAACACAGATCATTTTTCTTTTCCAAAATGAATGTCTTTATTTTTCTTGATTAATTTTCCTGACTAGAATTTTCAATAGTGTTCAATGGAGGTGATAATAGAAAATGTCTTTATCTTGTCCCTGATCCTGAAGAGAAAGTTCTAGCCTTTTACCAATTAGCGTGACATTATCTATGGGTTTCTATTTATTTAAAAAGCATTTTACAGTCTAATTTTAAAACACGAGAGTGAGGCATTATACATCAATCTTTGTCATCACTGGAGTAAAATATGTTTTGGCCAACTGGTAAGTTAGTGGGTTTTTTTTAATAGATGGCCCATTCCTTGGCATATGACCATCAAGACTTGATAGTGTTGAATTTCAAATTCAAAAGGAAGACTTTATTCTTACCTTCTTATAAGACAGGCTGGGGATTTCTGAAAGTGCATCCAAGGCCAGAGATGACCACTGTAAACATTTTGAAATTTGATAATTAGATATGCTTAAAATTATTCTTCCAAAGAATGTCTTGGTAGAGAGTGACTACGATACTGAAACATACAGAAAACTTGACATCGTGTTTGTGATATCTCAAATTATGGGAGTCATAGTAGTTAGCAAACATTTTAAAATGAACCTTCTTTGAGAATATGGTTGGTTATTTTAATGTCCACTTGTTTTGAATTGCAGATTGGTTTTGTTCTGTACCCCCCTAACGGAAGCGCTCCATGGAAACTGTCAGATATTAGCAATAAAATGTTTCTCTCAATGTGCTTTTGCTGGCATTATGCAGCAATCTTGGTCATCATTGGAGTAAAATATGCTTTGGCCAACTGGTAAGTTAATGATGTTTTTTGATAGATGATTCATTCCTTGGCATATAATCATCAAGACTTGATAGTGTTGAACTTCAAATTCAAAGGAAGACCTTCTTATAAGACAGACCAGGGTATAAGGAATTTATCTCTACACAAAGAAGTGGCCAGGAAAAAGGTCCATGCTGAATTCAAGTGGTGTGGCTGCTGAGCCTCTGACCCATGCCTCACCCTATACATACCGTCTGGATCCTCTGTCCTTTCACATATACTGTTGTCTATTCTGAATGGCCAGATCCCCTGTGTGCAGTGAGATCTCCACTTACTCATGGGTACATACTTTCTTTACTTGTCCCATTTCATAACCTAGGGAACTTTTTGGCAAATGTATATAAATAAAATTAAATAATAAGACAATAACCCTAATATTTCTAAAAGTTGAATGATGTATTCTTTTACACAAGAATCCTGTTCTAACTTTCTGAGCAGGAGAGGAACAACATAAAAGATTGCTGAGGACACATTTTCCTAGTCCTATTGTCTATTGGCTATGACTTCAGACTCAGACACAATATGTATGGATCTTACTGTTTACTAAATAGGAGTAAGAAAACTTAAATGGGATCCTTTGCTTACCTTCCTGAAGATATAAAGCCTCAACACATGGTCTTGTCATCTAGTCTATGTTGTCTTCCTCTTTATTTGTGAGGAGGTTGAGACCCTCCCATGGGGAACATTATTGCCCTGAGACCAGGGCGAATTAAAGAGACAGACAATTAAAATAAAATCCAGTAAGTGGAAGGCTTCTCTTAATTGAAAGGTAATGTTAGATTTCTATACATCTTGCAGTTTCTCCTGATTCCTAGAATGTAGTAGCTATTTCTAGGACTCATGGTGTGTCAACTTCTACTGTAACCAGCTCTGTGTCCTTTAGGCATGGGTGCCAGATCATCCCTCCTCCTCTGAGCTTTCCACTACAGTAGCTGTGACACTGGGACTCTGAAAAAGAAACTTGAACCATTGCCTTCTCCAGCTCCCCGACCTTCCTCTTGGGTTTCGGATAGGCGCACTTTGCTCTGTAGATCCTTTCTTCCTTCTCCAGATTGTTTCTGTTAGGTCTGTTCCCCTCCCCCAAAGCATGTGCTTCAGCTCATTGTAAAGGCTGGCTGGGCTACTGAGTCTTGCTTTCTTCCCCTGTTGTTCTAGGCTGACATCTGAGCCTCATCTTCTTAGGGGCTGGGCAGTCTTCAGGAACAGTACCAGGATGCAAGAAAAAACTCTCCTTCGAATCAGCTCCCCTCCAGAGCCAACAGAAGACTACTGTCTCTTCCTGTTTCAAAAGCCTTCAGATGCCTAATAAATGGCTTGTCCATTTACAGGTCCCTAAAAACAAGAACACCAATTTTAGTTTTTAACCTCTCGCAATCCTCCCCCCAACATGTTGTTCTAATCTCTGAGCTGACAGTTCCCTTTGCCTGGCATATTTACACCAAATGCCCATCTCTTCTTTGAAACCTTTTATAATTCCTCTGATTCATATTGATCTGTGTTTCCTAAGCTTCAGTCGTTCTTTGTTTGCAGACAAATACTGCGACCTACCAATTACCATATGTTAACTACAAGTCTGTGTTGATCCTCTCTGCCAGCTACATTGTATCCTCACGTGAAAACAACCATGTTTATATCCCCATACCTACTGGCACATTGACAGACATATAATAAGTGTTCAGTTGGCATTTATTAGTTGTATACTAGATCTGCATTTCAGAAGTATTTAAATACAACCTTTATTTGTTCAAACATCTTATTTTATATGTTTTTCAATTTAACTTTAATATTGAAAAGACAAGACCAAGAGTTTAACTTTGCCTGAACTATCTTGATATATATTTGACCAACAATTTTAAAATATCACAAAGATTCAATATTGTCTTTCAGTGAGATCATGCAGATAACTAATTCCGTCCTAGTTTTGGGAATAAGGAGCTTTGAAACTCCTTTAATCAGGGTTTGACTATGAACTGATTGCTTATCTACAAGTCATTAGATGTCAGACATTATATCCCAGTTGCTTGATATAGCACAATGACAACCACACAATCACATCTAAGTTACAGAATTCTCCCAAATGCTTGAAAGATTACACTAAATGTCCCGATTTTGCAAAATAATGGTTCAAGATTGCCTCATTCTATCCCTTGCCTGTAGTCTTGATTACATAAGCTCATAGGTGAAACCTATGTGTTGGGAAATCTTGTTGCATATTTAATGTGTCCCACAAATATATCTCTGTTGCAAATAACTATTTCAATAATCCTTAGCTATGAGGAAAGAAGCCTATATCCAGATATATTTTTCACACAGTGAGTCATGGAAAGAGCAAAGTGGGACTTGTTCACACACCAAGGCACTAAGTTCTATGGAAGTAACTCGTGTGACAGCTCTGCTCTCTTGGATATTAGTTGACGAGAACATGAAGCAAGAGCAGAGACATACCTTGGTCCTGATTCTTGATTCCTCCAATTTCCCCCATTGTAGTAACTAGCAATGTGTCTGAGTATCTGCCTCTCTGTCTCTCTCTGTCTCAGTCTCAGTCTCTGTCTCTGTCTCTGTCTCTCTCTCTCTCCTCTCATCTGACTATCCTCCTATCTATCTATCTATCTATCTATCTATCTATCTATCTATCTATCTATCTCATCTACCTATCTACTTATTTACCTATTTGGGGTGTGTTGTTTTGAATGACTTTTGTTTTGTTTTTAAGACAGGGTCTCACTATGTGGTCCCAAGTTGCTTAGAACTTTCTTTGTAGACCAGGGTGGCAACAGACTCTACTTCTGCCTCCCGCGTGGTGGAGTTAAAAGCAAGTGCCACCATGCCAGGCTGCAGTTCCTTTTAATCACCCCACCTCTCACGGTGCCTCACAGGACCACTGCTGCACGTGAGCCACAGATGCCTAGTACTCAATAAAAGTCTAAACGTATCTGTACTTAGTGGCTTACAGCAAGAGCAGGTATAACCCAGAGAAAAAGAACAGGAAGTAGTGGGAGTTACTGGATCTACCTTAACATTTCATTCGCCGTAAGCAGCCTTCAGAAATGAACATCATTGATTAATCCCTTTCATCTTACATGGCTTGGTGTTATGCTATGTGGAAAGAATATATGGGCTTTTAAAAGGTGACATAATGCTCTCCAGCCCTTATTCTGTTATAGAGCATCAGCCCTTCACAAAGGTAGTAGCTTGAAGTGTTCAGGACATATGAACAAAATCAGTAGTCAAAAATCAACGCAAATAACTAAGCAGTTTTTCTTGGCTATTGAATCAACAGACATTATTGATTCTGTTCAGTTGTGTTTTATTGGAGATGCTAGGGTTAGTTGGTGGTGGCTGAAGAATTGGTAGCCTCTATTCACAGATGAGTGATGTGACCTCCTGTCAGATTGTTCCAAATGTCAGTGATGTGTCAAATGTGTCAATGTTATAGGTTAAAATCAATTATGACTCTGCTTAGGGTTAGGCCAGAAAATGAGATGAGGCTGATGAAGCCCTTGTGAAACTTTTGTATGGGATCCAGAGCACAAGGAATGACAGCATGTATGGACAGAACAAACCAGAACTTTCTTCATCAGACAAAGAAAGAGAGACAGTAAAAGTCAAAAAGTAAACAGATCTAAGGAATCTTTCATAAAAAAGAAATTCAGGTCAGACTTGACATGTGTATTCAGTTGGGCTGTCACCCTAAGCATGCATTTCCTTACAAGAAATGACACCTCTTTGCAGTCCATAGGTAGTTATGGATTTGATGTAGATGTTTCATCAATGCCAGGTTCATTTACATTTGTCACTGTCAATAGAATCTCCTGCTTGTTTTACAAATGATCAGTTGTCTTCTGATGCATAACTAAGCAATCTCATAACACATTTTATACACACATCTTTTCTGTTTCCTTAGTCCTTGGTGTAGTCCAAAGTCATTTCCAGGTATCTCAAAGCCAAGTAGAAACCACTTCCCTTTGGGGATTGCCTCTATTCATGGTCGTAGGAATAATCTATAGTTTGTTACAGTTTAGATTCATACTTCTCTAAAGTTTTGACTCTTGATGTTTTGTAACCAGAGATGGTCTTCTTTTTCCCCAGGTTAGTTAAATCTAGACTTAGGAAGTTCTGCACCTCAGAAGTTGGACTCCTGAAACATGCTGACCGTGAGCAAGAATCAGAAGAAGAAGTATGATTTTGATGGGCATCTAGTCTTTCTAGATAAGCCTTCTCATTTTACATTGCCTTTGTTCATGACTTTGTTTCTTGATCTTTTGTCTCAAGAACAGTTGTCTGAGGCTGACTCCATGCTGTTTGTATTTCCAGTTTTGTTAAAGAGTTGGACTTTAAATATCTTACTTTCAGCTCTGAAAGTACTGTGGGTGATAAATTCACTTTGCATATTGTGCATGCCATGTAATTCAAGAGCAATCATAATTTCTTTTCCAAAGTCATAGTTTCATGTTCATTTATTAAAATTATATATTTTCTTGCCATCACTGTAATACATTAAATGTTAAATTGTACTTGTTTATCTTGTTGCCACAATGGAAAATAAATGAATGCATGCACCTTGCTGCAGAAACATCAAATCCTCATTTTTTTTCCTCACCCTCACGTGATACGGAAAAATCTGCATGTACAGAAATTCATTTCTTTGAGACATTTATCTATGGAGAGCCCAATGTAAAAGGTAGACCATAAGTCTTCTTCTGAGCTTTCAAAAAGGAATGGTGTTGAAACACATAGTTTCTTTTTTTTTCATTTTTTTTATTGGATATTTTATTTACATTTCATATGTTGTCCCCTTACCCCATCCCCCACCCACCCGGGAACCCCCCATCCCCTTAACCCTCCTCCTTCTTCTCCGTGGATGTAACCCCCACCTACCCCCCCCACTCCCACTTCCCCACCCTCAAAATTCCCACCCCCTGGGGCGTCCAGCCTTCATGAGGTCAAGGATCTCATCTTCCACCTGTGCCCAGCAGGGCCCTCCACTCTTACATATTCAGCTGAAGCCCTGGATCCCTCCATAAGTGCTCCCAGGCTGGTGGTTAGGACCCTGGGAGCTGTGGTTGGTTGGTATTGTTGCTCTCCTCATGGTACCACAAACCCTTTCAGCTCCTTCAGTCCTCACTCTAACTCCTCCATTGAGAACCTCATGATCAATTCAATGGCTAGTTGTGAGCATCTGCCTCTGAATATGTCAGACTCTTGAAGGCCTCTGAGGAGACATCCATATCAGGCTCTTATTAGCATGCACTTCCTGACTTCCACATCAGCATCTACCTTTGGTGACTGCACATGGGATGGATACTCAGGTGGAAAGGTCTTCAAATGGCCCCTCCTTCAGTTTCTGTCCCTCACTTTGTCTCCATATTTGCTCCCTTGAGTATTTTGTTGCTCCTTCTAAGAAGAACTGAATCACCCCCACTTGGTCTTCCTTTTTTATGAGCTTCATGTGGCCTGTGAGTTGCATCTTGGGCATTTCAAGGTTCTGGGCTAATATCCAATAATCAGTGAGTGAATACCATGTGTGTTCTTTTGTGATTGGCTTACTTCACTCAGGATGATAATTTCTAGTTCCATCCATTTACCTAGGAACCTCTCGAATTCATTGTTTTTAATAGCTGAGTAATACTCCATTGTGTAAATATACCACATTTTTTGTATTCATTCCTCTGTTGAAGGACATTTGGGTTCTTTCCAGCTTCTGGCTATTATAAATAAGGCTGCTATGAACATGGTGGAGCATATGTCCTTGTTATATGTTAGAGCATCTTCTGGGTATATGCCCTGGAGTGATATAGCTGAGTCCTCAGGTAATGCTATGTCCAATTTTCTGAGGAACCACCAGACTGATTTCCAGAGTGGTTGCACCATCTTACAATCTCATCAACAATGGAGGAGTGTTCCTCTTTCTCCACACCCTCGAGCATCTACTATCACCTGAGTTCTTAATCTTAGCCATTCTGACTGGTACCAGTCAGAAACACATAGTTTCAAAGATGTCAGAGACTAGGAGAGAGGAATGGTGATATTAAGATAACCTAGCATGGCCACTGTACCATTTGCTCTGCTAAAGAGGTAAAGAATTATACAACAAACTTTTATACAATCCTAAGGTAAAAAGTCAGAGCCTTTGTGTCCTGTAGGTCAAGAAACACCTAGATGTGAGTAAAAAAAAAAAAATCATGCATATTATTCTGGCTCTACCGTTAACCACTCTCCATGTTTCTCATAGTTAGCATGTCTTTCTCCCTTCACTTGACCTCAGCTAAAAGGCCAAAAATTGGTTCTTCACTCTAAAGTAAAGGGGACAAATTGACTTAATAAGCATAGGGACCCTTTCTTACTACCACATCTTATGAATCTCAAATAGAAACAATTAGAGAACTATCTTAATACAATGTTACACGAAAAGGCCAGTCTCTGCTAAAACAGAAAAAGGACAGGACACAGGAATCCTTAGGGATAACCTAAATGTGGAGGAGGTGACACGGCCTCTATGCCCATGGAGGTGAACCACAGACAATGAAATCCAGAAGGCTCCCTGGCATTCCAGAATCCCAGAAGCTACTCCATCATATACACATCACAGTGGACCTGAAGAGAGAGATGAGTATAATCTCCTTGCCCAAGAACTGGGAACAGTCATCTTGCTCCATAAGATTTTAAAAGGACAGATGTGAGTGCCCAAAACTATCTCTTGAGCTGTGCGTATACCCTAGTGCACACCAGGCTACAAGGTAACAATGTGTCATGGTTCTCTGAGGAACATGTGTCCTGCTCATGGCTGTTCCAGATTTAAGAACTCCTTTTTAGACCAACAACATTCTGTGAGTGCCACATTTGAGCTTCAAAGGAACCAGTCAACAGTCTAGCCAACAAGCTAGTTGAGACAAGTCGCTGATATCTAGGTCTAACCAGTACACATAAGGTTACAAACACCTGGAAGTTTGAAAGCCCATGAATCCAGATTTTCTGTTGTGTTAATGAGAATACAAATATCACTACTTCTCCAGATTTGAACCTAGAGAATATAAATAAATTACAACCCAGAGAGTTCTCAGAACATCTGAGTCTGAGACCAGCTCAGGAATGCTTCGCTACAGTTTCTGAAATAAAAACCTGTCTTGCATTTGTATGGTTATACTATTGAGGCTGCATTTTATGAATACTGTTTTTGGAACAATATGAACAAATTAGTAAACCATGATCTCGATCCCAAAACAGGAACTTCCTTTATTTATTTTCTTTTTCATGCACCCAGGAAGTGTCAGTCCATTTGTGGAATTTGTAGAGATTTTAGTGTTTCAAAAAATATATTTCAGCAAGTTGTCCAAAATAATGACAAATATAACAAAAGTATAAATGGTTTTCTTGACTCTAGAACACGGGATTAGGAAAGGCAGCTCAGCTATACTTATGAGCCAGTGCAGTGGGTAGAAACGGGGTCACTTGTTGAACAGATGTTCCATTTCCAGATGCTAGGAAGTATTCAGTATGCTAAGAGTAGAGTGATGGTCAAATCAAAGCTCTATTAGACATACATTCCTGGAGTGCGTGTGTGTGTGGGGGAGGAATAGGCAACGGCAAAGTAAAATGTAAGAACATAAGAAGAGAGACAATGAGCAGTGTGACGGGAAAAGCATCTGGGAAAGAGAATAAAGAAGCAGAATAAAGAAAGCACTGGGGACGTTTTGCCAGACCTTCCCCAGAGGTCTGTGAAGAAAAGTGGCATCCCTGTTCAATCCTTCTCTGAAACTGTGAAATCATGGTGTTTATATTTCCAGAGGATTAGGCTGTGCCAGGACAGAGCTTGCCTTCATCAAGGACAGATCAGATTTGGAGATCCCCCACCCCCTTACTTCGTGCTTTGTCTCAGCTGTCACAAACCTGAAGACCAAGTCTCTGAAGTTCAGCTGCATTTCTTCCATGCGCATCTCACGGTATATCGAGACATTACTTTGTGTGTAGTATTGCTTCATCAGTATAGGATCTTATCAAGACGCTAATTTTACCTTGAATATGGATTCATAAGGTGAGGCAGCAATCACCAAAATACAGGAAAAACCAGAAGTAAAATGAAGTGAGGAACTTTCCCAAACACAAGCCAAATGATTGATAGAATTAGTATGTATGGAAAACAGGCTCCCACATTTTGTATTTTGTTAAATCAAATGTCCTTTTAGAGTATGGGTGATAAGATTTGACAAATGACTAGAAGTGGAGCTGAAACCATTCCCTATTTGCTGATTGTATCTGAAGCCAAAATACGTTGGCTCCAAAGCATACAGGAATCAGATCATAAAACTAACAGAAGACCTTAGCAATTTAGCATAGAGTGACCTCTTCCCTGCTTAGAAATAGACCATGTTCCCTTTGTCTCCTAGAACGAGTGTAAATTCATTACTACTGCACTCAGAGCTCTGACTCCAGACATTAGTGAACACTAAGTCATTTTAGCCTAATTTGTAATTCAATGTACAGCTCTGCCTTATATTGTACTCTCAACCTAAAAAATGGAAATTTTATGTTGAAATTTACATTTTATTAACCATTCTTTCTACCATTGACCTCTTAGTTTAGCTCTGCAGGTTCTTTAAGGTTGTATTCAAAACATTTTCCCCTTGCTACTTCATATTGCCTTCTTCTGCCCATATCGCTATAGCCCAGAGCCTAAGCCAAAACTGGGTCACATGCTTTGCAGACCTCTGTCACTAGAAATAAAGTCCTCTCTACTCTGTAGGGCACATACTTCTCTGTCTCTTCTGTTAAAACTGTTAATCTCCGAAGCTAATCAAAATTTAACAGAAATTGTCTGCCCATGGCTACAATGGAAAATGAGCTATGGGCATAGAAAGGAAGGTGTCCCCTAAAATGTTATGTTCTTTGTGGTGCAGAAAATTATAAACAATATTCATATTTCCAGTTTTGAAAGTGTGTGCTCAGTAAGCATATGGCAAGCATAAATGAAAAAATAATAAACATTGTCGTATAGACACCCACAGCAGAGATGTTGCAAAACGTCAAGCCAGGTGACAACATAAGACAGACAGCTGAAGTGACCTGATTGAGAGCAGACAAAGGAGGCATTACTAACTTGGGAGTTACAACAGTCCACAGAAATGCACCAGGGAAACTTCATTGAGACAGTAGGCTGAAATTCCCAACAGAACTTCTGCTTGCTCATCCCGCCATAGATTTTATACCATGGAATTGAGCAGCCAAAACCAACCTCTATTGGAAAGAGGATCTCTCTTCTACCATTCTCAAGGGCACAATGTTTTAATATCCTTAGCACTTTGCTGTTTTCCTTTTTTCTACAGAGTTAAAAAGTTCATTGTAACTAGGACAGGGAGATTAGAATACTTAAACACACTGGGATCTCAGATAAAGGAGACTCCCCTGCCCCAGAGTGTGCTTTCAGCAAGTTTAAGAGCATCATGTGCCAATTCACCAACATCCACTATATCTTTAGGAGAGAACCCCAAAGCATTGTTAATGATGGTTCAAGATCTCTCAGGGGCCCAGGCTCACAGGAGGATATATCTTCTGCAGTGGGAGATTCTTGCGCTAGTGGTTACTC